ACCTCCATCACCTCATATCATTCCTTGCGAAATCATAGCCTCATCTTGCTTGTTTTGAGCCTTGGCATCTTTTATAAGCTTATTTATCCATTGGATGGTTGAATATTGAAGAACAAGGTGTTTTCAAAGTGCATAGTAGAAAGGTCAAGTATAGATCTAATAAGGTTGTTTCATTCCTTGACCATTGTGAGTAAAAAGCTTCTAACTTGCTCATTGGGTTCATAGATCTTGTTAATTGTCTTATTTGTCACTTTTTGGTCCCTTAATCTTGAGTTTTGTCAATTTTGTACATTTACAACTCTACAGAACAACATAAACTGTCTATACCACCTACATGATGGGTAACTTTCAATTTCAGAATCATTATGATTGTAATCCATATTTCTTAAACGACCTAAATTATGGCCTATTATTGGGCAATCAAAAATAAATCTGAAATAACCTTGGAATCTATAATTGACAAAGCGTTTACCAAACCAAGTAAAAACTTTTCTTCTACAAGAAAGAAAGTCAGGCCAATGAGTTGCATTCAAAAGTTCTAAATCTTGTTCTTGGGATAGGAATGTTATTGCAATGAAAATCATCCCTACAACAAAAGTGGCCTCCAGATTTGCCCTGTGGGATGCAAACTCCAAGTAGTCAAATCCAAAATCCAAATACCCCCAAAGTGAAATATTGTCTCTGTTAAGAGAGTAATACATTGGGATTTAGAGAAATCTAAATCAAGTTATCAAAACACTATATTAATGTGCATGTTTGATCATACAATTCCATCCTAAAATATGACTTCAAGATTTTGAATCGCCAAACATCTCTACACAAATGAGTTAAATTATTGACTATCTACACTTTCTATCTGTCAATGTCGAACATAAACCAACATTTTTTGGATGACTGTAATACGAAAGAACCTGAAAAGTTTTGTCTGTATGGTTTACTTTGAATATGATGAACAATTTCTTGGGGAAGAAAATTAACATGACTAATAACTAAAATGATTACAGGTCATTAATTACCGACGACCATGAAGTCAGAACTACCGGGGTGGGGTGTTGAAAAGACTAAATTACCCTGACATACCCATTTTAGCAATTCAACATGCACAAATCCCTTAAGGGCAAATTTATCTTTTCCTTCCATAGTATATCGTCCAAATCTGATTTTGCATGAAACAACAATCAACCTTTTTTAGAAAATTGTTTTGTCATAGTTTTGACCTCTATGAATCCTCCAATGATTAAATTTTTTTAATAGATTTTTTATGAATTTAACTTATTGATCCATAATTATCTAAAATGTGTCATAATGCCTCATCACACTGTTAACACATTATACTTTAATATGAAATATTTTAAATTAAGATTATCATTAGTAATTAGTATAAAAATATTCCATAAATAAAACTCACCATTGACGACAAATGTGGTTGACGTGACAATGTGGTGGAATGTGAAAAGCACCCCATGATCTTGTTGTGAAATGTGGTCACCACCACAATTGACCAGACCCAATCATATTGTCTCTCTCTCTCTCTCTCTCTCTCTCTCTCTATATATATATATATATATATATATAGACACACACACACACATTTAATTAACTAAAACACTTTTTTTTGTATGTGATAATGAGGTGGCAGTGATGTGGTACCTACACATTTGTGGTTAGTGATGTGTAAACCGGGTATACATGATAAATGTCGTTTAAATTATCACATTTTCATTAAAAGTTCAAGTTTATGTAAGAACGTAAGTATACAAAAATAAAAAGATATCAATAACAAATATATTGGTTTCAAGCATTCAAATTAAGAATGTAATTATATGATGTGCATCTCTGTAGAGAATAAAATGTTCACTGTCAGTGTGTAATCTTACAAATATCGTTGAGAAGGGTTATGTACACTGTTTTATCGATGGAAACCAGTTAATACATGGAAAGCCATTCACGACTGATTACTATAGAATTTATATAGATGAAGCAATAAAGCCATCCGTCTGCGTACCAAACGGAGATAACAAAGTCCCGTTAACAGTTTTGGATGCAATATGTTGTTTGTGGTTTGGAAAAAAAATCTTGTAACCCTTGATCCTGAGGTACTTTAGTTGCATTAGTTATATTAATTAATATTTGTATTCATTAATTAAACCGTATAATTTTTTTAAAACGATTCTATTAGTTTATTACATATATTAATTGTTCAAGTTTGCTTCAATGCATGTTTAACACGTATTTTAATTTATATTGTTATAGGATCTGGATGTGTATATAGTTGAAGCAAATAACGAAATACAAAAGCCTAGGAAAAGAGAGCCCAAGAAAAAGCAGCCCAATAGTTATTATCTAGCAACTAGACTAAGGAGTGTATCAACTACACACAACAGTACTCCTAAAAAAAAGTAAAGTTTAGTTTATTTGGTTTATATCATTGTATACATGTATGTTTTGTTGATGTAATAACTTTATATAAATAATATTATTAAAGATAGTTTTTTTTATTACATTATATTTTATATTTCCGTTTTTACGCATCATAGTAATGAAAGGTTGCCAATATGTATAATTAAATTAAAAAAACCATTCTACAATATAAATAGTAAAAAACGTATTAGTGTCTGTATAGATTATTTTTTTGTGACGGGTTAAACTTGTCGGTTTATCTAAACAATTGTAATGAGAAACCATTAAACATGTTAGTAAAGATAACTTATGCTGACAACTTAATTGCATTTATGTCTCCAAAAGTCAACAATGGTCGCGATAATATTTACAAATGGTGACTATAAGTAAACATTTATCACTCTATCGGAAAAAACACATCACTATAAGTATTTTATGGTCACCGTTTAATTGCCTAATGAATGAGTAAATGTACATAATATTCACGATATAATATTAAATTTGTCAGCAAAATTTATCAACAATCATAATAAAAGAAATAACACGTTAGTATAGATCATTTTTGGTGACGTCCTAAGTTTTTATTTGTCGGCGTATGTAAACAATAGTAATGATAAATCATTAAACATGTTAGTAAATATAATTTATCCTTCCAACTTAATTACATTCATGTCTCTAAAAATCAACAATGGTCACGATAATATTTATAAACGGTGACTATAAGTGAACATTTATGACTATATAGGAAAAATAAATTACTATAAGCATTTTATGGTCACTGTTTAATTGTCCAAAAAGTGAGTAAATATACACAATATGCACGATATAATATTAAACATGTCAGCAAAAATTATTAATAATCATAATAAAAGAAATAACACGTTAGTATAGATCATTTTTGGTGACGTCTTAATTTTTTATTTGTCGGTATATGTAAACAATAGTAATGATAAACCATTAAACATGTTAATAATGATAACTTATCCTTACAACTTAATTCCATTCGTGTCTCCAAAAGTCAACAATGTCCGTGTTTATAAATAGTGACTATAAGTGAACATTTATGATTATATAGGAAAAAACGCAATATTATAAGTGTATTATTACTCATGACGGTTATCAAAATAAGATAGATACATCTCCAAAAACACTCTACCATATAATAACGGATTTAACCTATAATAATGAGTTTTCATGGGTTATACTCACTACAATTGAAGGACAACATAACTTATCTTCAATGACGCGGCATTTCCTTTCATGTTGAATGAAAAAAAAACCCAAACTTAATATGTCTATAATGATGGGTTTTTTATGTGGATAAAGCCCAATTTTATACTAGTGTAAATTGTATATTCTCATGCATTTATTCTCTTAAACTCACTTATCTAATATCATCTAAGTGACTTAAACTTATCTTGACCAATTTCATGAACTCGCAACTTCATAAACTTACAAAACTCTCATAACCATTTTGCCATTTTGGTAAATATTTGATTAAAAGTCAAATTTCTTTAATTTTTGGGTTCTTAAAAAGCAGATGCTGATCTATGGTTTTTTGTACTTCTGGAAGTGGATGATGGAGGAGATGGTTTCAAGGGCTTCGACTCTGGCCGATGGAGGCGGACGTTGATGGTCTGGTTGAAGGCGGAAAGGAAAGGAATTGAGAGTGAGAGGGAATGAGATGAAAAGTAATTAGGGTTTGTGGAATGTTTTGTGTGTTATTAGTAATCAGAAGCTACATTAGGCAAGTGAGATAAATCTCTTCGGTTGCAAAATGAAGCACCGCTCAAATGATTAATGTTCAGTAGCCAGGACGGTAATTGTTATATATAATAATATGTATTTAAACTTTATAGATTTATGCTTATTGCTTTAAATGATACCTGAAAATATCGTTTCTATGCTATATAAGGTTTTTTAATATTAATTAAAAAATGGATTTTTTTTTTAATTTTGTGATTTTTAAATGCATAGTTTTAAAATCTCTTATATTAGCGATGAATTATCCATGTAAATCTTTCACTACTTATCCGTAGGAGCTCTGTTGGAAATCGTATTAATCTACTATCCGTAGGTAATCCATAACAAAATAAATTAATGGGTAATCCATAGCTAAACAAATCCATGGGTCACATAGGCCCAAAACTAAGCCGTTGGAAACCTGTCACTGTATATACACGAAAAAACTTACCCATGCCATTTTACACATGGATTTGGATCCATGGGAAATCCGTCGACAAATCCCATCACCTACGCGTTTCGCCGTGGGTAAAGGGCTTTTTGTTGTATTGATATTGGAGACGATTGTCCAAAATTGAAAGACCCAAAGATCAATGAGTTCCACTTGATGAGAGTTGTAAGAATTATGGTTTTGTTTGGAGTTTTGTTTCGGTCCCTAGTTCAATTAGTGCGTGTGTTCCTTTTTATCACTTATGCAATAGAACTATATACTTATAAGCTACGCAGGCACCAAATACTAACACAATATTATACAATAGAAATATATAAGCTATATATGCAGGCCACCAAATACTAACACAATATTATTCATTCTCCATCTCAGAGTTCATATATTGTACAAAACAACCATTAATAATTGTTGCATATATAGTAATGGTAAACCTATCAATTTAAAACAAAAACATTAAAGATTTGTATGATTTCTCTGGTTCAGAAAAAGTTTAAGTCTTATATCCGGACATGGTTTAGCCCAGACTTCTCGTCAAGTCCTCTGGAGTAAAACTTCATCATGTAATCTTTTACAGTAAATTCTCTAAACACCCGGGGACTTCCTCTCATGACAACCTCCTCGATAGGCCCATAAATCTTAGGGGTTGAAGACACACCATGAAAAAAACAGGCAACCGACATTCGAGTTTGAGTTGCGTTGCCAGTTGCTCGATGAATCACACTTTTGAACTGGTCATTTGATACAATCTGCATAGAATCAAGACAACATGCACCATAAGAATATTAGTCACTTATATGATCTAATTCTTTCATAAGAAGCCAAAAAATCACCATTGGCAGATTATCATATGGAACTATAGAAAGGTCGAAAAACAGAAATTTCAGATAAGACCATTACTTTTGTTTCATTATCACTTGCTATCTCAAGTAAATAATTTTGTAATTTTTGGCTTAACTTAAACATTTTACCTAACTCATCAAATTTAGCATTGTACTTGATAAAACAGGGATTTTGTAAGTTCAGAACATATTGTGAAATAAAACTTTTTTTCCTCTAAAGCATGAATCCATTTGGTAGTGTGTTCATCGTACGTCACTTTAATATAATTACCTGAAGAAGATCTCCGATATTGACAACCAGAGCACCAGGAATATATTCAACGTCAGCCCATTGATTTCTATGCAGAACCTCTAGTCCCCCAACTTCATCTTGTAGTAGAATAGTGATGAAAGAAGCATCTGTGTGCTTGTTGATTCCTAGGGTCTGGTCAGGGTTGGGGCATGCAGGATAATAGTGGCAAGCCAGGGTTCTACCCTTCTCACATTCTAACCGTTTCAGGTGGTCTGGTTCGAGCCCAAGAGCTTCTGATAGTAACTTAAAAAGGGTGTCTACTAGGTTCTTGAGATTGTTTAAGTAGTCGACAGTAGAGTCTCTGCACATAAAGTCACACGTTAAAGATTATGTAATAACTCTTTATAAATAATTCCTATATTAGAGCATTAGCCTGTTGCACCTTAGCTTATATACGTTAGGCCCATTTTTTGTATGTTTGTATTTTGCCTAGTTAGTTAATTTATCCCTTTGTATTGTACATGTATTTATGCTTAAACTTAATAAGAAGATATGCGTAGGAAATTAACCTACATGCATATATATATATGTACTTCCTAAAAGCATTTAACTTTCTAAAATGTTTCACATTTTTACCTATATATCCGTATGTGTATAACATGTTAAATTAACAATGAGAAGCCATTTCATGAAGAAAGATGATATTTCATGGAGTACATATATGATGTCATATTTTAAAATCATGTTAGTTTTAACACTTGTTAAACTGGAAAAAAATAGTTGTGGTGGAAATTTATTTAAAAAAGAACTGACTTTCATTGAAACCAAATAAAATATAATGGTTCAACAAAAATATTCAAAATATAATGGTTTTTATGAAATTGTTCTTTGTACTTGATGCAAATGGCGAAAGTTTTGGAAAAACAAAATCATAATTTTCCAAACATTCATTAGAAATTGTACCTGCAAACTGAGGGCAGATCTTGAGGATTAAGATCATACGAACTAGTCATATCAACAAGCAACGAATCCCTCCAATTAGCTGCTGTCGACATGTAAAAATCATAATTCGTGTTGAACTTCACCATCCTATCCGGATCCCTTGAATAGTATCCCTTTTTCATCTCTACATCCAGCTCATTAAACTCACGCACACCCTTCATCATTTCTTCTAGCACTTTCATCGGTATCCCATGATTAACCACTTGGAAGAAACCCCATTTTTCAGAAGCATGTCTAACTTCTTCAACGATCTTCTCCCTCCTGGAGCTTCCCACCATATCATCAACACCATTAAGATCTATGGCAGGAACACGTAAACTCGTTCGTGTGAGTTCCAGATCTTCTGCAAGTTCATCAGGTGGTCGGATAAAGATTTCCGGAACATCCACAGGCCCACCAGCTGCAGCATCAATTAGTCCTTTGACACCGGATTTTGTGTCATCAAAAGCCTTTAGTTGTGTAAGTCGATCATTTTTTGAGTCGTTTAAGATATCCATTTAATTGATCTTTTTGATGATAAAACGCTCTTAGATATTTATTATAAATACACTTTGTTTGTGGAAACAGTCAACTTTCGACAGACTTTCGATCACAATCGTATTATAATTATATATATGTCAACTTGTGGCGGCTTTGAGTGCTTAGCCGCTATAAATATTCAAACCCGACCAGGCCACCAACCACGTAAATCTGTTCTAATCCGTACACATATTTTGATTTGCATGTTATGAGTTGGTTCACATTTTTACGCTTAAATTACTGTTGTTCATGAGCTGTTGTTAATGAGCTTTGGTAAGACTGTAATACCGTTGACCATTTAGTAAGGGTACGGAATGGGTTGATCCGAAATTGTTTTATTAATGTGCGTCATATCTATCTATATTTACAACTCCATTTTTATTTTAAGGGTAGATTAAAAATATTCGTAACTAGGGGTGATTAATGGTGACATGACATGAAATAAGACATAAATCCGACGTATAAATAAAAGTTTGAGTTGAGTTTTCTGATTCGGTTTGGTATTTAGGTTCGTGGGTCTACCCCAAACCCGTATATATATCATATTAAAAAAAAAGTATTTAATACTTAATGATCATGTGAGTTTTAACTTTTTATTTGGATGTGTTCAATAGTTTATTTTTTGGAATTTAGATGTGTTTATTAGTTTATTTTCTAGAATTTGGATGTGTTTATGAGTTTAATTTAATGGAATTTTCCCTAATTAAAAAGATTTTGACCCGTGCACCCAATTCTGACCCATGAATCCAATTTTAACCCATGAACCCAATTCTAACCCACAAACTTGTGTAATTAAACGGGTTTAGCGATTCGTGTCTAGGTTTGACCTATCTAGGCTAGAGTTGAACAATACGACACTATTATTTTCGAGTTGAACTTTCTTACCCATCTACCCAAACACGACATGATTATCACCCTACTTGTATCCTTATAAATAAACTCATCTCATTTTAGTTAATTATTCAGTTTGATCAATTTTACATATATAAATATTTGAAGTTATATCCCTTGCATTTTACACTAATATTATTTTCATATATTGACTTAATTTACAACATATCTATAAATATATATATATATTATTTTAATATAAATAACATCATTGAAAATATATATTCAATAATTTAAAAAATTCAGTTTAATATCACTGATATTTAAATCACTTAGAAGTTGGGACCATAAATGAATTGGACATAGAATTTAGTAATATAGCGATTTAATATAAAAAATAATAACAATTCAATTTTACTAATATCATTTTCATATTTTTTTGTGAATAAACCAACCTTCGTAATCATACCTTATGACTTATCATATACACAATACTAAGCGAATGTCCGCGCGTTGCGCAGAAACACCTATATAGTTGAAATCTTTACAAATATATGTTTTTTAAATATAACAATAACGTTGTTTTTAAATTTGATATAATAATTCGTATACTAAGTTGATATAATATATTGATTGTTTTGAATTATATGATAATATATACATCTATTAAGACTGCATAACCTCAATCGTTTGAATGAACTCTACCTGTAGGTTATTCATGAACAAAATTAAATATAATATAATGTTTAATGTTATTTATAGTTGTTGTTACTGTTAATTAATTTTTTAAAATTTATTTGTTCGTTTTAATTTCTATCATTGTAATTATTTAAAACATCAAACACTGTTTTTTGTTTGTAAATGTAACAATATAATCATTTATATAGAGTTATTTTTAACTATTGTTAGTATAAGTTATTTTAAGCTATTTATTTGAAATTTTTTAACGGTTATAAAAATACATTTAGGAAATATTTTAGTTAATTGAGATTACAATTTAGTTTTTGCATTTAGCACTACAATTTATCACTTTTAACTATTCACAAAATATTCATTGGGTGTTTTAAGTGGAACTAAAATTTATATTTAAGTTGACAATATAATGTTATATTTAAATTAACAATTTAAGTATTTTTCCAAACTGTTTAAAAGTTATAGCTTTAAACTGACAATAGTTACATACAACGACATATTAAATCTAATAAATTAAGTAAACTGTTTTAAAAGTTAAAGACATAATTTTATAAGTAGAAGTAAATATATTATTTTAATATTAAAATTTAGTTTATTTATGATTACACTTTAAGTTTGATATTTATTTAACCTTATTAACTAACTTATAATCGTTATTATAAAGACACTATAATTTATCACTTTTAACTATTTACAAAATATTTTTTGGGTTGCTTAAGTTGAACTAAAATTTATATTTAAGTTGACCATGTAATGTTATATTTAAATTAATAATTTAAGTATTTTATACAAATTAGACAAAATTGCAAAAATGGTCCCTGTGGTATGCAGATTTTTGGGGTTTTAGTCCAAACCCCGAGTTTTTTGGATCCATGGTCCTTTTGGAGTGGTTTGTCTGTGGTTTTGGTCCCTGGACTTAACACCTGTTAAATAGGATCTGTTAAGCCCCCTCATGTGCCTCATACGTGAGGGTAAATTCGTCATTTCATATGTAAGGGACCTTTTTTGCATAAACCCCCTCAAGTAGAAACGAAGGAGTCCACTGTCTGTGTGATTTGGTGAATATCTTGCACTTCGATTCCTCTCAAGAACAAATTCATCTCCTCCAACTCTCCTGTTCTTCCCGTTGGTTTCAGAGTTTGGTTTCTTGGTGGTGTTGAATGAAAAATTTCTCCAACTTACACTACTGTTGCTTCGTAATACCTTTTTGTTAAATCCCCCTTTTTTATTCTGTTCGATCTTGCCTTGATTCTGAGTATGATATTTCGACGCCATTTACTCTGCTGAAAGTGTCGTCGTCGTCGTCTTTGTTCGATCCTCCATAGCGGTGGATGAACCCCCATAACTTCCATCTCCATCGTCTTGGTGTCTTCCCCTCTTTATTCTCGTCGTTGTCTCTGAACCGTAATTCGAATGTCTCTGAGCAATCGTCTCTTAAGGAATTTGAATATGAATCCCTTGCTAATTCTCGCTCACCACCGATGCTTGGAAATCTTTTTAAGGCGCCATGATCATGGTTGTAATCGATGGTTGCCGGAGAAACTTTGGCGTTTGAGACTGGAATGGGGGTTGTTTTTGGTTCGTCCATTTCCGCCACTACAGCGGCAGCCATTTTTCGGATGGAGTTAGACCTGTCGAGGCTTTTCCTGCGCTTGGAGGAAGAATCGGAGTAATATTCTCGGGTTTGGATTGATCCACTGAGCACAAGAAGATCTACATTTAGTGGTTGTTCTTCGACGGAGATTTGCATATCGGAACGTGGTATCTGCACCACAGGTGCATCTTCTACCATGGGAGGAAGCCGTGGGAAAGTCCGGCCGATTAGATACCCGTCCCAGGAAGCTCTAGGCTCGTCGAAGGAGTATCTCAGGTCATCAAACGAGATCCGACCCGCGTCAAGTGAAAACCCGGGATCAAAGTTGCAGGATCGCCGACCGAATTCAGAATTAAGTCAAAAAACGGTTTATGCAAAAAAGGTCCCTTACATATGAAATGACGAATTTACCCTCACATGTTAGACACATGAGGGGGCTTAACAGATCCTATTTAACGGGAGTTAAGTCCAAGGGACCAAAACCACAGATAAACCACTCCAAAAGGACCATGGATCCAAAAAACTCGGGGTTTGGACTAAAACCCCAAAATTTTGCATAACACAGGGACCATTTTTGCAATTTTGTCTACAAATTATTCAAAAGTTGTAGCTTTAAAATGATAATGGTTTACATACAACAACATATTAAAACTAATAAATCAAGTATAAAATGTTAAAATTTAAAAACATAACTTTATAAGTAGAAGTAAAGATATTCTTTTAACATTGGTATTTAGTTTATATATGACTACTGTAACATGTTATTTTGGAATTTAAATAAATAATATTAAATAAAATAAATAAATAAATAAACCCCGGGATGAGGAGTATATTTCATATTATTTTATTGAGGCCCTAAATCCATAATAGTTTATTAATGTCAGCCTTGGGAGTAAAATGTTATAAATTCGAGAATTTGTGGTTTAAATGGTATCATTTGGACTCGTGTTGAATATATTTGTGGGAAGCAAGGGCTAAAGGGTAAATTCCGGATTCAGATTGTAAATATTTCTGAGGGCAGGGGCTGTTTGGTAAGTTTTGGATTTAAGTTGAAGAAGATTTGAAAAGGAGGGACTGAATATGAATAATTGGTGAAAGTTGTAATATGGGACGGGAGTTTAAGATCTTTCATTTCTAACCCGTGTTATGGGAGCACCACAAAACCCTAACCCTAGAATATATCCTCCCCATCCGCGATCCCCTTCAACCATCACCGCTAGCTGAGATCGACCGCCATAGCCGCTGCCGGTGACGCCCAGAACAACCGAGCACCCTACCGAGACGCCCACTACCGATGAAGCCGGAAGCCCGGAGCCAAACCTCGCACACTGTCATCGCCGGTGACTACGAAGATCGGTGAGTTCGTGGTCATTGCTGCATCTCCCTCACCCGGTAATGTGCTCCTTTGCTTCTTCCGCCATTTCCTCGGGGTCCCGTCGTCGTCATTGCTCCAGACGACTTCCCCTCTCGTTGAGTCCCTCGGCTGCCATCTGCCGCTGCAAGGATGGCGGCGTCGTGTGTGTCACTACGTGTGTTTGGTGCATACTCAGCTTAGAGTGTCGGGGGAGTGCATGTCCAGTCGAATGTGTATGGATAGATGGTCGAAAATCGGAAACAACCACCATGGCAGCCAACCATGGTGGCTGCCGCCATATAGCCTCCTTCTGCCGCCACCAGCCACCGTGGGAGGTGGCTGTGTGTGTGTGTGAAATTGTGGAAACACATGTATTGTTATGGTGTGTCGTTGGTTGGACAATTCTCGGTTGAAAGTCGACGGAAAAACCACCACCACCATCGTGAGGTGGTGGCTGCCGTCGTGAGACGCGGTCGACCACCACCGCCCGAGGTGGTAGTGGATGGTGCTCGACATAGTGAAACCCTAATCGGACCAATAGCTTAATCTTGGACTTAGTTGGCTTGTGATTGGGTTGGAAACCCTAATTAAGGCTTAGAAAACCCTAATTTTGGGAAGATGTTAATTTTGGTTTGCTGGGACCCATGTTTGGGAAGATGTCTAAGCCCATAACTATTATTGGTATGTACTCGACCCGATCCGGCATGGTCCATTTGGGTTACACTTCACCGGAACAATTTGTATGGATAGTCTTTTGAGAATAGTATGTTTATGATTTATTAATATATTATAAGTTATAATATATTAATATGAAATCATATTATTTAATTAGTATTGATCAAGAATTAATTTAGAATTAATTTAGTGATCAAAAGGAACTAATTAAATATGGACTATTATATATATAGAATGGGCCAAGTTCATTTAGGATGGGCTAAGCTTGCATGGATAGTCCATGGAGTTTTTAACCCATGGATCCTATGGAAATGAATGGTCATGGGTATTAGGGTTTACATGGATGTAACCCTAATCCACCATACTATATAAAGAGGTCCTTGGCACTTGAAATTGGCACTAGTGTGTGAACAAATAGGGCATAGCCGATTTGGACAAGTGTGTACTCTTCTCTCAAGCTTTCCAAGTTGTTTTGGAGATTTGTGATTTGATTTGAGGCTTCCACACTATTGGGGCTAAGCTCTTAAAGGTTCAAGACTTCAAGCTCCATCAAAATGTATGTCATCTAACTAGACTCTTTTAGTATAGTTCCTCCATAATATGCTAGTTAGGATGATGCTTTGGAATTTTGTATATTTGCATGTATAATAGTGAAAACATAGATCCAAGGCACATAGGGGTTGCATGCACACCATAGGAGTGTTAGAATGCTCAAATTCCATCAGTGGTATCAGAGCGTAAGCTTGGTTTTCAGTTATACTTGATGCAGTTGCTGAAAAAATCGAAAATCTGGCCTTCTGGACTGTAGACTCGCCGAGTCCACTGGGGGACTCGTCGAGTCCAAGAGGAAATTCATCCTACTCGTCGAGTAGGTTCATACACTCGACGAGTAGGAGGCCATGAGTGCAGATTTTCAACTTTTAAGGCTGGAATTGGACTAGAATCATTACCCTAAGCTGTTTTTGAACTTATAAACCTGTTTTTGATGTGGTAATGATCATCATAATCCAATTCAAAAGATAATTGTCAATATATTGATGTTTTTTATTAGTTTAATGGTTAGGCTAATTACATGAAAATTGTTTGATTTGAATTGTCTTGTTCATATGAGTTTAATCTAGATCATAGTTTTTCTTGACATGTTTGTTTGTTTATTAGATGATCTAAATGGCCTTTAATGGATTCCATAACTTGTCCTCAAGTTATGGAAAACCAAAAGTTTTTCTTTAAAAGAGTTTTTAAAGTCATAGGTTATAGAAACTTGAAGAGTCTTTTTCCATAAATTGTTTTATGACATCCATAACTTGTCCTCAAGTTATGGATTTTCAAGAGTCTTTCCATTAAAAGCCATATTAAATTCATATGTTATGAATTCCAAAGGTTTCTTGAATTGTTCAAAACTTGCCCTCAAGTTTTGGAATTAGTAAAGTTGCACTTTTGAATACTTTAGTTCCAAACCCTAGAGTTTTAAATAGTTTAAAGTTCAAACCTTATACTATTATAATATTATATGTTTAATATTTATATATATATATATGTATAAGAGTAAAAGTCAGTCTTACCGTTAGTAGGCCTCATTCACGAAGTCGGTCTATAAGGGGGGTATAAGGTTACTGCCTATAAAATGGCAGTTTAATGGGTGTCCACTCTCACCCACCGCTTCCTTGACTGGTGGAGGGTCGTTAGCCGAACGGGTAGGACAAGGACTATAATTTTCATTAAAAGTATAATGATAAATACTAAGTAACTAAACACTTATAAATTCCCAATCTTAGTTACTTAGGAAAATGTGAAATTGGTGCTAACCCATGAAATTACACTTTGTACCTTACCAAGTCGTTGGTGGAGCGTGTGTGGGTAACCGGCACACTAACATGGACTAGTAAGAGTGGCAAATGGTGACTTAATGTTTATCATAGATCGGTGGAGCGCGTGTGGGTAACCGACACATTGATTAGGTGATAAAATTAAGGGTACCAAGTTAATTTGCATGGTTATTCACGCCTTGTTTGTGATCCTCGGCATCCTAGTCACAAACTTGAGAGGGCACAATCGAGATTTAAACATGCCATTGAAAAATTCAATGAATCTCAAAAGATCTAAGAGTTTCAATCCAATTAAAACCTAATACCTATTTTGTTTTTCATGGTGGAAATTAGTCAATCGTCATTCGCCTACCTTCAAATATTTTATCTTGGATTACGGCATCCCTCTTTCGAGTTATAAAATATTGTGTTGGGTCCTAGCCTTAATATTTTAGATTGGGTGTTATATTAAGGACTTAAATCAACTAACTTGAATTTCTCCCATTGTAGATGTCTGGTTCAGACAAGTATGATCTTCCCAAATCTCTTGGAACAAGCTTTCCTAATGAAGATGATGTCTCGCGATTGGATCATGGAAATCATACTTCTCTTCCTCCACCTCCTCCAATTATTCTCCCTAACCAACTATTTCAAGGTCACTCAAGCCCTTTTGGCAAGTAAAGTCTGTGTGTACTCACATCTCGGAGATGAATTCATATATATAGACAGGCCGGGAGAGTTGGGTGTCAAAGTCTTGAGGAAGTTGGTTGTTGACTAGGTTCTTCAATCACTTCCTAAGTCACATAGTGAGTTCCTTTGGGACTACTATATGACATACCATGACATGATCCTTAATGATCTTACCTATTTGCTTGATGCTGCTGAATCAGCAATGATTTGGAGCACTGGTAAAGCAAATTTGATTGGAAGATCGACTTCCCAAACTTCCATGGACATTGACAATGGTAACATTGGAAATCCAGAAAAACTCTCTTCCCAATGGAAAGGGATCGGCTATAGTCAACTCGGTTGATCAAATGGTAAAGAGAAAGGCTAAGTCTGAGATAGTCCCGTGTACCATTCCCAAAGAGTCCATATATTTCTATTACCAAAGAAAGGGGCATTGGTTGCAAAGCTTCCCTATTTACCTGAAAGATCATGAGGATGGTAAAGTCAAAAAGGTTTGACTCTACTTCGGGGTAAAGTCCACTATCTAACTCTATTAGATTCCTATTTTGATATTCTTATTACATGATGTGACTAGGTCGCATTTTGATGTTTTAAGAATTAAAGAAAAGAGACGAAGCTTAAAAGAAGAATATGTTGATTCTGATCGTGAAGATGGATTTCGATCGCATGGTTCA